TTGTGGAGTGTGTTGTGCACGTGTGTAGGAGTGTGTGTGTGTGCATATACATGCATGTGTGTGAGTACAAGCATGTGTTTGTGGAGTGTGTGTGTGCACGTGTGTATGAGTGTGTGCACATACATGCATGTGTGTGAGTATGAGCATGCGTTTGTGGAGTGTGTTGTGCACGTGTGTATGAGTATGTGTGTGTGCATATACATGCATGTGTGTGAGTACGAGCATGTGTTTGTGGAGTGTGTTGTGCACGTGTGTATGAGTGTGTGTGCATATACATGCATGTGTGTGGGTATGAGCATGTGTTTGTGGAGTGTGTGTGCACGTGTGTATGAGCATGTGTTTGTGGAGTGTGTGTGTGTGCACGTGTGTATGAGTGTGTGCATATACATGCGTGTGTGTGAGTACGAGCATGTGTTTGTGGAGTGTGTGTGCACGTGTGTATGAGTGTGTGTGCATATACATGCATGTGTGTGAGTACGAGCATGCGTTTGTGGAGTGTGTTGTGCACGTGTGTAGGAGTGTGTGCATATACATGCATGTGTGTGAGTACGAGTATGCGTTTGTGGAGTGTGTTGTGCACGTGTGTAGGAGTGTGTGTGTGTGCATATACATGCATGTGTGTGAGTACGAGCATGCATTTGTGGAGTGTGTTGTGCACGTGTGTATGAGTGTGTGTGCATATACATGCATGTGTGTGAGTACGAGCATGCGTTTGTGGAGTGTGTGTGCACGTGTGTATGAGTATGTGTGTGTGCATATACATACATGTGTGTGGGTACGAGCATGTGTTTGTGGAATGTGTGTGTGTGCACGTGTGTATGTGTGTGTGTGCATATACATGCATGTGTGTGAGTACGAGCCTATGTTTGTGGAGTGTGTGTGTGTGTGTGTGTGCCTGGCAACTGCACTGGGAAGCAGATCCTAAGCACTGCCTGGGCCACAGGAGAGGCCAGGGTGCCCTGGCGTCAGGAAGGCGCCCCAGCAATGACAGGGCTGGGGCGCATGGGCAGGGTCAGGTTGTAGTGGAGAACAACACATGTGGAAACACATGGAGCCTGAGGCAGCCCCAGGCCCAGAGGAGAGCTCCTGCTGAGAGCAGGGGCACGTGTGACAGAGAAGCTGGAGAGTGGTTCCAGCCCAGGTGGAGCCCCGTCACCCCAAGGCAGAGCCGTGGGAGAGCGAGAACACAGCTGCCTTCAGTTCTGCTTCCCCTTTCCCCCAAGTAGCCCCAGCCTGTGCCGAGACCAGACCCGCCGCCCTCAGGTGCTCTGGGGACATGCCCGAAGCAGCCACCTACAGGGTCAAAATGTCTTCCTAGAAATTTTTTGTTTTATTTTTTTAAGATTTTATTTGTTTATTAGAGAGAGAGAACAAGCAGGTGGAGGGGCAGAAGGAGAGGGAGAAGCAGACTCCCACTGAGCAGGGAGCCCAATGCAGGGCTCAATCCCAGGACCCCAAGATCATGACCTGAGCCGAAGGCAGATGCTTAACCGACTGAGCCACCCAGACACCCGTATGTTTTTGTCGGGTGGCTCAGTCGGTTAAGCATCTGACTCTTGGTTTTGGTTCTGCCATGATCTCAGGGTCGTGAGCTTGAGCCCCGCATCCTTCTCCACTCAGCTGGGAGTCTGCTTGAGATTCTCTTTTCCTCTCCCTCTGCCCCTCCCCTTCTGATCCTCCCCCAACCCTCACATATGCACGCTCTCTCTCTCTCTCTCAAATTAATTAATTAATTCTTAAAAATAAAATTTAAAAAAATAAACAAAAACAAAAACATAAAAGCAGTAAGCACCCAGTTCTGGTAGCAAGCCACTCAGACATGCAGCATCTCAGAAGCTTTCTGAGCGGTAGCGTGACCAAGTCACGTTTTAAGGTAATTCATCCATCACCCGTGACAAGGTGGAGAGGAGCTGGGTTGCTGAAGTGAGGGAGACCAGCTAGGAGCTGACCTGGACAGGAGAGGACCTGGCCCAGAGGGAGAAAATAGATTCACGCAGAAGAGGCCCTTGACGTGAAATTTGACTGCTCCGTGATTGCTGCTTTGGGGATGTGGAGAGGCAGGACCACTACAGCATGGGGAAGGGTCATCCCACTTAAAGAATGTCAGCCGAGAAGGGTATGGTGACCCCCTCAGAATGTCCTTCCAAACCCAAGGATAGCCAAGATCCAAGGAGGAGATCCAAGCAGGTCCAGCGTCCTCCCCGCACGCCACTCCAGGCCTTGGTTAGGTCCCCAGCTACAGGCACCAACCCTGGACCTGCGGGAGAACCCAGAGAGATAGAGGCCCCGAGGCGCTGACCACCAGCCATCTCTCACCCTGACAGTCTGCAGATGGCCCGGCTGAGACTGTGCTGCCTCCCGATTCCCCTCCCGCCCAACCTGACCTCTGGCCCCAATGAGTCAGGCTCATCTCAGCCCACATCAGACTCCCTGGGCTGGAACTGCCAAGAAAAACTCTGAGCTCCCTAACAAGAAGCAGCTCTTGGCCAACCTCTTACGCGAGCCAGCTCTGAGAAAGGCACCTCTCACCTTAGCCTAGCTGCTGACTGGTCCCTTCCCTTGTTCCCTGGCCTATCTGTCGAGGGACCAGGGCCCTCCTGGCTTCATCCCCTCCCTGGCCTCCCTGAGCTACAATCCTTGGATCTGTTCTGCCCCCATTCCAGCATCTACTTGGCCCCGAGCAGCTGATTTCTCCCTTTCAGCAGCTGTCCACTCGGCCCAGGGATCAGCAGAGCCCTGGCCCGGGGACCCAGCCTGACTCAGCAAGGTCCTTTCGGAGTCATGTCTCTGCCCCTGATCCTGCTGTCGCTGAGATCCACTAGCAAGATGGCAGAGTCTGGGGGCCTTGGTGGGTGAGCCAAATTGAAGGAAAACCAAGAGTTCTGCCCCAGAGAAAGGAAGATTAGGGTCACTCTCAGAAGCGCTCTCATGTAGGAAAGGGAGTACAGCATACTCTGCAGATAGGATGGACGGAATTAGAACCAGCACTGGGTAAAACTCCCAGGCACTGATGTCAGCTCCATAGATCGAAGGGTTTCTAGTACACAGAAGACATTCACAATGAGAGCAGCCTACCTCATGGGATCGTGGGACACCAGCCAACTGTCAGAAGCACTAAAAAGTGGAGTCCTTCATTGCTTGAGAGAGGCGGAGAATATCCTTTTTGGTCCTGAAGTTGTAGAAATATATGGAAACGGTTTCCATAATTGTATCAATTGCAAAATCTTGAGCACAATTAATTCAGCAAATGTTTTGGAAAACCTGCTAATCACATTTTCTTCTGTAGAGCTGCTGTGACCTCCGTAACTCAGCTGGACAGATGATGACATAAATGAGCCCATTCTAGATTCAGCCCTGGATGACACGTTCACTGTCATGGGGGGTCAGGGGTGGGGGGCCTTGACTCTGCATTAATTCACACCAACTCAAGAAACCCCTCCAGTCACAAGTCTCTGCTCTCCCTTGACACCAGGAATGTGCTAGAGAGGACACAGCCCCTCCCAGTTGAGCATGGGCATGCTTTGGCTTTGCTACCAGGAACAGGTAGTCTTTCAGAGAAAAGAACCAGGACAAGCATTTCAAAGTTAGTACAATAGAGTCAGAGCCATGGTTTCTAAATGTTGGAAGAAGAATTGGGGTCCAAATATAGGGACTGAGAACCTTCCCAGTCTGGCGTCTCACCCCCTACCCTCATCATTTTATTGCCTGCTGACACCCTTCCCCGTGTTCCAGCAGGTTCTACAACCGGGGTTTCCCGGCACAAACCACGTATGTATTTTCTTAGGCATCTCCTTGGCCTAGAGTGTTCTCCTCCCTCTGGCTTGCTCAGCCAAGTCCTGACGTGAAAGCCTGGGCCCCAGTCTCTTCACTCCTGGGAGCTGGCCCCGCGTTCCCTCTGCCATGGCCTTCCCTCTGTCCTGAAAGTCCATTCGCTCCCCCTCTCCTGCCCTCCAACGCCCAAGCCCGAACGTGAGTGTGCTGTGCAGGGGGAGTCCAAGGGCACACAGTAGGTACTCAACAGAGAGATGGAGGACTTCGTGTCTGGGGACCCCCTTGTTGGAATACGCAAGACCTGGCTTTTTGGAGGGAGATGAGGCTGATCCAACAGCCCTTTCCATCCAGATTTCTGAAGGAGAAGAGGAGGTGTGGGCAGCCAAGCAGATAATTATGTGTTCTTGGAAGCTGGTTTAATGCACTGGCTCAGCTCTGAGCTGGGAATGGGCTCTGAGGCCTGCCGCCTTCAGAAGGGACGTGGCTCAGGCAAGGATTTTGCCGTCCAGTTTTAACAAGTGGCCAACGCCTTATGGAAACTTCTGAAAGGCATTCTGTTTCAGGACAGCCAGCTTGTACTTCATCTGGCTGCTCTAGCCATCTTTCCTTCAATGTGGGAGCACAAGAAGAAAGGCAACTAGAAATCACGGAGCGCCCACTACGTGCCAAGAACCAAGTCAGCAATTTCACTGCCCCAAGAGTCCCCCTTTGCCCTTTGAAGAGGGAGACACAGAGGCCCACGGAGCCCCTAGCTGCAGAGAGAGAGGGAAGCTGGGCATCTCAGCTTCCGCAGCCTGTGCTCTTTCCAGACACAGCGACCTTCTCTCTACAAGGCCGTTCCTGCTGCACGTCTCAGTCCTACCCCAAAGCCAAAATTCCCCCAGTCAAACAGGATAAACATTCCCATGGCAAAGGAACGCTGTGTTCCCCAGAGGAGAGGCAATCACGTTGTTCCTGCCGAGGCTATGTGTGCTTATGAAATAGAACTGGGCTGAGGGCCGGAACCCAGGCTCCAGGGCAGTCACCCCTCCCCTGCAGCCCCCAGCCGTGCCCTACAAGGCAGTTGGTGGAACAGAAGAGTGGGGAGCCAGGTCTAATCTTGACTTTGCAGCAAGTCACTGCTTTCCCTGGGTCTCTGCTTCCCGTTGCCATTGCAAGGCGACAAGCTTGCTTTGGAAAGTGCCGAGAGTTAAACCCATGTGAGAAATAATTCTTGTTTTGCTTTCCTGGGCATTAATTTCTCCGTCTGTAATTGTAAAATGTTGTCTGCATACAAGAGAGTCTCAGAGGTAGAGATGAAAGTGTCTTTTTGGCGATGTCTCTGGAGAGTATGTCTCTTGTACAATCATTCATTCTTTCCATAATTATTAAACACATATTGAGGGCTTATGATGTGTCAGGTTCTCTGCTGGGCAACGCAAATACAGAAATCAGCAAGATAAAACCCCTGTTCTTAAAGGACTCATCGTGTATAAACTCTTTTTGCATCAAAAAAAAAAATGTATGTGTGAAGTCTCATGTCTAGAAAATAATCCTGAATATACCCATTTCCAACTCCTGTATACTTGAGCCCCATCACTAAAAAATATTTTCTTGACTATATTATATACATTGTTCTCATATTTTAACATTTCTCAAGTCAATCTGCATCTTACCATTTTGATTGGCAGCATTTTCTTCTTCATGGTACACCAAACAATGATCATCTTACAGATGATAACATCTTAGATTAATGAAATACATTTGGGGGGAAAATTTACTTTTCAACTGGACTTTTAGAGGAAATTCACAGCCACTGAATTTAACACAAGGTCTTTCCAGAACATTCCTGTTCATCCAGATGTATGGTGTCACGCAGATCATGTGTCTAGATACCTGATTTCCCCTCACCTTTCATCAGGATGGCTTGGAAGCAATCTGTAAACAAGAGACCAGGATGCTGTATCACCTCTTGGCCACCAGAGGGAGAGAGCGCATTGGTTCTCAGGCTTGCTAGTTTTCCTTCTCCTAAACCTTTCTGGCACGCCCCCTCCAGGGCAGTCTGAAACTCCACCTGTGGGGTCAAAAGAGAGGAGAAGTCCCTCTTCCAGCAATGGCAGTGAGAAAGAGGAGTTGGATCTGAATGATGTTTGCAAATACACACTAAAAATCAGCTATGGTTTAAATGAGCAACTCCTTGGGATGAGGACAGGTGTTGGACACGGCAGTTCTGCCTCAAAAATGCAGGACTGGTGGGTGGCCCCATGCCCTTCTTAAACCATTCAAGACTCATGAAACCCACAGTGATTCATAAAGTTCTGCAAGGAGGTTTTCCCACTCTAGCAATTACCTGTAGACTTCTCTTCTTCCTTCCTCCCTTCCTCTCTTCCCTTGCTTAACTACTTATTTATTGAACATCTGCTATGTGCCAGACCCTGTGCTAGGAGCTAAGGATAAAGTAGTAAACCGAACCGAGAAGGTTACTATCCTCATGCATCTTACATTCTGGTGGGGAGATAGACCCTATACAAATAAGTCAATCATTGCATGGTGCAAAAAAGGCTGTAAGGAAAGATACTGGGTGCCTTGAGAGTATGCGAGGAGAACATGGTTGGGAGCCGATCCAGGCAGACGTCTCTAACGAGTGGTAATGGAGACCATGCCTGAGGGAAGGCGGTCCCAGGTGAAGAGCAAGGGAGAGTCCTTCTGGGCAGAAGGACCAGCATTTGCAGAGGCCCTGAAGTAGAAAGTGCTCAGCACCTAGGCACTGAAAGGAGGCAAGTGTGGAGCTCAGAGACGAGGCACAGGAGAAACCCAGGATGGGCTAACGCATAACAGGAACATGGTGGTGCAGACCCTTATGTGCATGCTTAAGACCTATTTTTCCATCGGCAGCCATTGAAAGGACTAAAGCAGGAACAGACATGAGTGGCATGGAGTAATGATAGGACAACACTGATGACCCTGGGGAGTATGGCGTGGAGGAGAAATCTGAGAAGTGAGGTGTCCAATTGGGAGTTATTGGAGCAGAGGTAGGATGTGATGGCAGCCAAATGGGGACAGTGAGCATCCAGGTGTATTTTATTTTTTATTTTATTTTTTTATTTTTTATTTTTTTTAAAGATTTTATTTATTTATTTGACAGAGAAAGACACAGCGAGAGAGGGAACACAAACGGGAAAACGGAGAGGGAGAAGCAGACTCCCTGCCGAGCAGGGAGCCCGATGCGGG